CACTGAAAGTGAGATCCCAACTCTTGAGCAGAGCAGTGTGGCGGCTGTAATCTGATAACATGGATGCTGAAATAAAAAAGCAAGCCGTTATATGACTCACGCGCTGCTCACACATTCAGTGGGGCATAGATGTACAGTTCATGTCATCGATGCAGTCATTTCTACTGCTGCAACTATTAGATAGAATAGAATAGAATGCCTTTAATCTCACCACACAATGAAGCATGGCGAAATTACAGCAGCTAACACTGAAAGGTGCATTTAGTAAAAATAAATAAAATATAACAATAAAAATAAAAATGTTTACAGGAAAATAAAACTTTAAAAACTGTACAAACTAGTGCAAAAAGAGGTGCAAAAGGAACTATTGCTACTAACTTACCACTGCTACTAATTAACATTATATCACTGTTACTGCTGCCACTTAAGATATTAGTACCATCATTTAGAGATTACCACCAATAAACAATTCCCATACTTAGCATGTTTTTAATTTATTTGGCAGCTAGCTTTCTTAAAGATCCCCTGCATGCATCTTTTTTATCTCCTTCTCCCTCAGTGAAAAAACTCCAGAATCTATATATAATAGATAAGATGTGTCAGGGTTGACGGAAAGTCCAGTCATTCTTGTTTAATTCAACCTGGAGGTTTTTTAGTTTTCACATCATTCATGGATACTAAACTCTGATTGCGATGTCATGTGTTAGCAGGTTAAACTGAGGTTCAGGTTGAGAACAGAGGAAGCAGAGGAATATAATCAGCCTTATCGTGTCTTCACACATCTCACTGCTCTGTACAACCATTCTGGTGAAGTGACGAATAGCAAAACCCATTTTTGACTGGAGGAGAATTTTGAATTGTGCATGTGCTATATCAAGTGTCTGAACTAAAAGCTTAACATGTAAACCAGCCACCTGTGATTTACAAGTAAACATATCTATCTTCTTACCATCTCTTCTTTCATGCAGGCGGACTCAGCGGTGGAGGAGGTGTCCGTTCCCGAGCTGTCCGTGGAGGAGTCATGGTGCGGAGCAGAGGGCCCCGCCTCCATAGCCGAGCTGGCTCTGGAGCAGAAAGGCGTCCACTACCCTCTGGTCCAACACCACTGCCTGCTGGCCTCCCTGCTACACGCTGCCCTCACCTTCAATCTGAAAGTCAAACCACTCAACCTGTTTGACAGCAAGGTGAGGAAACAGCACAAGCACGCACACAAACACACTTGTTGTCTGTGACGTCATTTGAAAACTGCTCCCTTTAAAGGTGCAACACAATCCAGCGAGGCTGAAGGGTGAATTCAATTTTACTTTTTGTCTTCCATGTCCAATATTGTTGATCTTGTTATATGTCTACACTTTGAGTTATTACTTAAACTAGAATGGCGCTCAGTGGTGCGTTTACCTCCACTAATGTCCAACTGTCAAGCAGCACCTATTTCACCAACTCATCGGTATCAGTCCCCTAAATACGCCAGATTGTTTTCATCACGATCAATGAACTATTGATATTAATAAATGATTCCCTGGGCAAAATCCTGGCTCCGCCCCAAACTTGAGTGGGTTCTGTCTTGGCCCATATCCCAACCTCCCTCCAAGTTTCATTAAAAATCAGTTGTAGTAGTTTTTGTTGAATCCAAAATCTTGACCTCCTCTGCAGAGGAAATTAATATATCACTCATGACCTCATTATAAAGCTGTTGTAATGGAATTTATGTGGAAATGTATTTTAAAAACTACACACTGGACCTGATTCATTTGTGCGCCATAACATATTTTTGTGTCCAAGGGTAAGAATGCCTTCTTCAGAGACCTTACGACAATCCAGCTGATGCCCAGTGGAGACATGGACCCAGGCCTGGTCTCAGTACGACAGGAGGTGAGATCTAAACTTAAACACATCACATGTCAGTTGCAAAGTTGATCTCTCCTCCTTAAGACGTGATTCTGAGAAATGTTCGCCCTGAATAATTTAACAGCTGTTTTGGTCTAAAACACAAATCATGTCAACACTCAAACAATTCTGCAGGAGTGTGTGTGTTCCTACTTATATCTTATTCTCAATGAGAATGATGTTTTGGAATGTAGTGAGGATTGTCTGTCTACACATTGATTTTTTTTGGGACAATCCTACATAATATACATTGAAATGCAAAAGATGAGAGGAAAACTGCAAAATACATTTCATCCATTTCCCACATGTCCTCATTCTGTCTCAGTTCCTCCTGCGGGTGCTCACTGGCTGGGTGCAGGCAATAGATGATACTTCCAGCTCTGCCTCTGGCACTGGGTGCCCCCCTCTACCATCCAGTGGCCCTAAAGCTGGTTGGTGGCCCTCGCTGTGTCTGGAGCTGGGCTCCCTGCTGCAGGTCAACCCCGACATCCTGCGACGGCACCTCGTCTGTGAGCTCTATAACCAGGGTCTGGACCTCCGGGCAGAGGAGGTAAAATACAAATGCTCTTTTTTTCCTGCAGACAGAAGCTACAATGAGGGTGATAACTCCTGTTTGTTTGTTCAGGTGATGTTAGAGGTGGAGGACAAAGACGTGCTGGGCTCTCAGCTGTTGGTGCTGACTGGACAGAGATTGAGCTTCTTGCTGCTGCACAGCCAGAGTCAGACACAGGCTGCTATGGAGCTTCTGGCCCGCCTTCCCCCCACCCTCTGCACATGGCTCAAGGCTATGGTGAGACACCCAGCTCCATGACCTCTGAGGTTTCAGTTACAGTCTCCAGAAAAGATGCTTCATTCCATTACTGTATTCACAAACCCAGCATTTTTCATTATGTTGACCCTTTGTCTGGACTAGGATTGCCATGGTAGTCTACATTTCAGGTGTTACACGGTGTATACGGTTAATTATCAGTCCCCAAGTTACTAGTTATCAATACTTTACTTGACACTGCAGTTATAAAGTGAAAGTTTCAGCTCTGTTCACCAACAGAGTCACATTTAGAAGTATACATGATGAGAGAGTTGAGCGATGATGAGGAATTGGTTTTAAAAGACAGTTTTGGATGTTTTGAATTTCCACCGTGTCACAGCAGAAGAGAGAGAGGATGCCCATAGTTCAATCTAACGTTAAAGATCTCCCTCAGTAAACACTGTATAGACACTGAGCCTGCACACGTCTTTTCTTGTTAAATGTCCGATGTAATGAAAAACATGCTGTTTATTACCCAGTAAAAAAAAATTCAAACCTGAGTCTGGACCACATACCCTCCAATCAACATGTACTGTAGACAATACAAACTGCAAGAGCTGACGGAGCACTGGAGTGTAAACAGTTTTTCAGTGTTTTCTCTCTCTATACATTTTTTGAAGTAATGAGGTTAAAGGTCTAAAGAAGAGGTTAGAGGTCCCTACAGGAGAGAGGTCTGGAGCAGACCTGTGGGGAAAAACCACCCAAAGCCCAAAACAGATCCCTGACACCCATTTTTATCAGATGAACATTGATGGCATGTTAACCCGTCTGTCGGTGAATCACGGGACCTTCAAATCATCCAAAATGTTTTTACAGTTCTTTGGCACCGAATCCTCATCATCCTTGTCGGTCAACTCTCCTCTTGTCATGTGTTAGGACTAAAATACTAATATGTGATGTGACCCTCCTACTGCACGGAGCAGATACTTTCACAACCACAACATCAGACTTAGTATTGGTAACTATTACTTAACATGTATTATTTGATGAACATGAGCACAACCACCGATACACAAACATTTACCAAATGGTTTTAAGTCTGTAAAAATGAAGACAGAAGAGTTGGTATGAGTTTAAACACCGTAACGTCAACTACAGCAGCAAACCTAGATATCAAAGATATCAATTCAAAGCAGTTTTGCACTAATAGCTCTAACTGCCTGTTTAACTATGTATTCAATTATCATTCTATATTTTTTTGTACTGCAGGACCCCAGTGAGCTGCGGTGCCCCCTGGTCCCGTTGTCCCAGAGCAGTCGGCTGGTCGGCCGTCTCATTGAAATGCTGCCAGAGAACCACGCCCAGTACAGCCTGGCCCTGCACCTTCTGGAGGCCGTAGAGGCTCTGACCACTGAGGACTGACCCTGTGGGGGAGGAAGGGAGGAGACAGACTCCACCGCATCAAATTTACAGATCGTGGTCACGCTTACTCATCTGCAGCATTTATGAGACTGTCGACAGGGGAAAGAAGAAATGCAGCCTCCTCACGTCCTTTGGTCATTGTCACAGAGGTTTTGTCATTCAGCTCATGTTAATATGTGCTTTTAATTTTTATTAACCCGTCATTTTGGGGCATTTAACATAAATTAAATTGAGAACTTGTCATTGAAAAGTGTTATTAAGAATGCCTCTGTCACTTCTGCTACATTTTCAGTCTGACTTAAAACTTAAGTGTTCTTTGTGTCATATCAGAGTTCTGTTTGACATTTCTCCTTCCTTCCCTCTCACAGATCTCTCAAGAGATGTATCATAAAGAAATATGGACCTTTATTTTTTATTTATAATATAGAGACACTACTGTACTAGCTGTGCCTGTACACCGCCTTTTCTGTAGTCCTTACATCCAGCTGCTCCCACTGGGCTAATCCAACGCAGAATAAAGAGGTTTCTGTAAAACTCCAGATGTTTAACTTCAGACAATGCTTGGTTCCTCGCTGCTCATTCCATTCAACCACAACACGTACCTGATAAAACTCCATATGTTAATTATTATACAAAGGTATCATCCTTTCTGGACTATAAATTCTGTGCTCCGGTCAATTCCTTCTGTACATTTACACATTGAAAAAAAACAGAGTGTACTGAAAGGCATCCTCTCGACAGTGTCTTCAGTTCCCCAGCATATATACAGTAAATAATCCTTTACATGCTGTATCAGAGTGCTTCAAATCAAATCGACACATTCATACCACAGCCAAGCGACCAGGAAAACTTTAAAGTTCCCACATGCTGTTAAAAAAAAAAAAAATGTGTCAGTCGATTAAAAAAATAGACACCTGAAGCACATTTAGGAACAGCATGTTGAGTTATCTCATATTATCAAGCTCGGCCAGTGTCGACCCAGTGCCAAGCTGCACTCTCTCTTCAAAGTTCAAACCTGACTGATTCTGAGTTGATGGTGACAGTTGAGCGTGAACCCTGGTCTCTGTTAAGTCGTCAGGGGCAATGTCAGCCGAATGCAGCGAAGCGAAACAGTGTTGTTAATGTTTTCTGGTCATCGTGGTGAGGGTGAGGATGTCTGGCTGGTCAAGGAGCCTGTGACACGATGGCTTGGCAGCGCGGGCACAAGCAGTCTGCTGATTCAGCTGTGTAGCGTCGGCACCGAGGGCAACGGGCAGCAGAGGTGGGCACCGCAGCGATGCTATAAGGGCTGTCCTCGCGGATTATGCCACCTGACAGGACAGATACACAGATACTGAGCACGTTGGAATCACAGTATTCTCCCCACAGACGTCAGACATTTAGATTTTTCAAAACAGGAGAAGGTCAAGAGCCTGTATCACAAAGCAAGTTCTGCAAAGTTCGGTTGGTTCACTGAGCCAAACACGTCCTCCTGTATAATAACACTATTAGTCATCTTAATCTGAAAGTGGCAGAGTTCAAGAGTTCGGAGCACTTCTTATGACAAGTAATGTTAAAAAAGTGCTTTTTCAACTAAATTAGTGACCGTTAGAATTTATCAAAATAATTTATGTTGAGACAATACAAAAATTATGAAACTTAACTAAATTAGTTATAATAAGACTGAAAGTATTTAAAACATTTATTTATAATTTACTAAGCTAAATAATATGTGCATTAGTTCTTGTTTAAAATTCAGTAGACAGCTGACATCTCTCTCTGTACCAATCACGGCTGATTACAATGAGTGTCATTAGATAACAAGCTCAGTGTTGACGCTCCTCACCCTCCAGGTTGATGAGGAAGGTGCCGTGGTTCTGTAGTGCGTCTGGGGGCAGGTCGCGGGGAAGCTCACTAGTCAGGGTGACCCGCGCTGCCATCATCAGCTCGGCCAGCTGGGAGGAGGTGGAGGTCGGCTCCTCCTGGAGAGACTGGAAGTGAAGGAGGGTACGAGATTGTATTTAGAGTATTTTAGAGAATCGGATGTGTGGGAATACAAATGTTTTTCACCAGGAAACACAGTCAATAAACATTTGCTCTTACATTTGATGACTGTTTCGATCTAATTTATTTTTATAATGAGAGTAAACTCACCTCCAAGAGTTCAAACAGAAGACCAGGCTCAATGGCAATGGTGAGGTCGTACTGTGCTGCATTTTTGCCTGGAATGGACGACAGGAACGAGTCTCTGATGGCACACGCTCCCTCCACTACTTCCTCCAGTCCCGGCCGCCGCCACACAGAACTGCTTTTTATCCAGCCGCTCCTGAATAATGTCTCCCCTTCTGCATGGTCAAAACAAACAGTCTATTTCTGTTAGGAAGCAAACGCAACACATCCACGTGGACGGCACAGCCATGTACAGACATGTTAATACAAAGCATCAGGCACATACTGTCATGTCCGGGTGCGTGTAGGTACACTTCTTCAGCTAGATGTGGCAGGATGGGAGATATGGATCTGGTCACTCCATCCAGAACTTCCTCTAACACAGTCTGACACGATCTTCTGCCCAGCGAGTTCTCTGGATCGCAGTACAACCTGATTTAAAAATACAGAATGCCTGAGTATGGTGTTTTTTTTCCATATCTTGATTCAACTGCGTGGTCTTTCAGTTTGAGAGCAGGACTTGTAATGCTTACACTCAAAACCCTGCCCTCGCTCAAATAGCCCCTGCTCGTGCTTGGATTTACAAAAAAATAATAATATTTTGCACTCAGATTGCGCTCCAGCTCTTCTCCTCACACTCACGCTGCTTCTGTGCCTGCGTGAAACGTCTGCAAGGGCGGGACAATTTCATTTGCCATCACTACTCCTGGCATTCTATTGGTTGAGGAAACCAAGCCCAAAAAGGAGAAATCCTCCAGCAAACTTTCCCAACTGAACAGAAGCAGTGTGACAACGAGGTTGAAGCTAGAGTACAGTTTGAGCACAAGCAGAGCCCATCTAAGCACACGGGGGGGCTATTTGAATGTGTATGCAGGGTTTTGAGTGAAAGTTTTATAAAATTTGAACAGTCCTGCTCTTAAACTGAAAGACCACACATGAGGTCAAAAGATGCTTTAATATTTTAAAGCTATTGGCAGCAAAACCATGTGTGGATTTCATGTTGTGGTCAGTTTTCACCTGTCTTTGATGATGCTGAAGTAAAAACTGGAGAGGTCTCTGGTGATGAACGCCTGGAGGACACGGATGACCCTGCCAGCGTCAAACTCACCGTAGGCATCTGTAACCTGCGCACACACAGACACACCAGCTACCGTCAGTCACTGGCTCAAACTATGGACACAAAATAAAATGTTCCTATTCACACCTTCATGCTGAATTCACGGAGCAGGTGCAGCATGTACTGGTCGATGAAGTGCATCTCTTTGGAGTCCACAGTCTGAGACAGCGGGTCAAAGCCGTGCAGGTTCCCAAGCAGGAACTTCAGAGTGTTTCTTAACTGGGAGAGAGAAACAGAGGGATGGTGAGGAAATAAAGAAACAGAGAGAGCCACACAGGGAAAGAAAATATACAACGTTTCACTCCCAGTTGCTCTGGTACCTTGCTGATGCTCTCTCTGGCTGAGTTGAGGGCAGTGGGTCCGATCTGGACCTCAGAGAAGATGTTAGACTCCGCCACCCACCAACGCAACACATCTGCCCCGTAGGCCGGCAGGTCCTGAGAAAGACAACAAAAAAAAAACGAGACTTGTAGAATCCATGTTTTCTCCAATTTTCTCCATCTCCCTCATTATTATCTCACCTTCCCTCCATTAATGACCACATCAGGATCCACAACGTTGCCCAGAGACTTGGACATCTTCTCTCCCTTCTCAGTGACCGCAAAGCCATGGACCACCAGAGACCTACACACACAAACATCAGCAAAATTATTTCACTAAGTATTTGGTTGAAATAAGTTAAAATAATATTGTTACTAAATTAATTTTAGTGACGGATACAGATTTTAGACTTTAATCAATGAAATTTTAAACCTAAGTGTGACAGAAGTAGCATGAAATACAGAAGACCGTGGGACACTCACTTATAAGGGGCCTTGTTGCTGACGGCTACACTGGTGAGCAGTGACGACTGAAACCAGCCTCCGATCTGGTCCTTTCCCTCCACGTATGCATCTGCCCTGGAGTCTGACTCTGGAGGAGGAAGCAGAGACATAAGAGGCATTAAATAATTAGTTCTGCATTCGCTTTACACAAAATAAAAGTAAAGCAAAAGGTTAGCTTTTGGGAAGAATGTCTAGAAAAGAGAGATGAGACAATATTAGTGGGGAAACTGCTCAAGACTCAAACATGCCCTGTGCAAATAACCAAAACAGCCTTTTTTTAAACTCTGAATGGTTAAAGGTTCCAAACAAACAGCTGAAAGAGAGGTGGTGCAGCCATGACATCACAGGCTTTCAACCTTATCCACCTCCACCACGAATCCCTTCACAGAGAAAACTAGTAGCAAAGAAGAAGTGCAGAGTTTGGAACATCCCTAGAAACAGAAACACACTCCTACAATGTTCTCTCAAGCCAGGTGCTCTGTGTAAAACCTGCATGCAAAGGAGAGACAGAGAGACAGAGAGAGGAGGAGAGTGAACAGAGATTCATGCTGCATTGAGGACTTTTATAATATCCTGTTCCCATGTTTGATGTCCTCAGATATTCCTTAAACTACATTCAAATGCTTTTGGTTTTAATTTGATGAATTGCGACAGAATGCCTTGTTTTAGTAACCGGCCATGTAACTGACATCGTAACCAACACTGGGACTATAGAACAGTCTCCCAACTCATAATCACAACATATCCAAGAGCATCTGAAAGCAAAAAGAGGGAGCAGAAGCAGAGTGAGAAACAGCAGGAGTAAAAGCTGCAGTCGGCCTCAGTAGGAGGATGGTCAAACAACCTGTGACCAGAGGTTTGCGGAGCGGAGCGGGGAGCCAGCTGAGACGGGACTCAGGCTCTGCAGAATCTCCCTCCGGCTCCTCTGGAAATGAAAACACAAGCAAAAATATGTCTGCTCTGCCAAATCTTCTGGTGTCATATTGTCTGATGTATTTAAAACAAGTGGGATCGTTTTCTACTGCTCGACATATCTGCAACATCCCGTCTAATTCACTGATCGCTAATTGTTTGCAGTCGTAATAGCGTTGAAGAGAAAACACCAGCGCAGTGACCCTGGTGTGCTGAGACTGCACTTCCCTCTGATCCAGGTTTGTGGTCAGCAAAGTACAGCTTTTGCTTACGATCCACTTTGCACTGCACCTTAATTTAATGTTGGACTATGTAAGGTTGGATTAAGAAGCTTTCTCTACAATAACACTAATTAAAGGAGGGTTGATGTTTTGAAAGCCTGGAGTCTTTAAAGTGAGCAGAGACTTAACTGCTGCATCATTTCGAACATCCCTGGTGTCAGTGGAGAGAAGCAGCATGATCACATCATTACACAATCAAAGTAGTCACTTCATTGCAGATTATGAAAATTGTATAACAACAGTTTTGAGTCACACTTTAGTACGATGGAGTGTTAGGGCCATTTGAAGGACAAGGAATAAAGCAGTCATAATACTTCGTAAATAATTTTAGGAAATAAGCAGCATGGAGAACTTGTGCTCGCATGAGATTCACTACTTCTTGATTAACAATCTTGTTGTTTCTTAGGAAAGTTAGAGGCTCCTTTAAATATCACCCAGATGGAACCACTGAAAACCTCACAGACACCACTACCAAACATTTTCTCCACCACAAAAGAGGCCGATCCTCCAAGTCTGTTTGGTTCTTTCTCCAGAATAGACTCAGTTTCTTGCACAATCTTTTTGAAGTCCTGATACTTAGAATAATGTGCTGATGAGCCAAAATATGAAATATTAGTTAATTGTGAAACCTCTACTAAAGTATAACTTAACAAGATGCCTCATATTCCTCATTGTAACACAGGCGATAGACTGATCTTCTGATATCCCCTCTAAAATGACATATTAGAAGTTTCTTTTTGTAATGTTATGACTTTTTATCCAAACCTCAGATTTTTTTCTCAGTAAGTAAGTACCCATGATACTCTGTCCGACTTCAGTGATCAACCCTGATTAAATGGTGCAACAAAAAACTAAAAAAGTAAAGAAAATCACTTTGTCCTGTGTGATCTGTGTAACAGGACCGACTGAAGAGATTCCACATGTACCTTCTAGTACAGCAGCCCAGGATGCTCCGCTGTCAAACCAGATGTCCAACACGTCCTCTCCACGAACATAGTCACTCACTGGACCTGCTTTACTCTGAGACACACACACACACGCGTTAGGTTAACAGATACATTAGTTCACAGTCTGGCCTTCAGAATAGTTGCTAAATTATCACGGCTCTACCATTAAATATTAGTGACGACACGTTGTTGCTTTTTGTGTATACATACAGGGTTTAAAGTTTATTTCTACTTATGCTCTTGATTATCATAAATTTTATATCTTAAAATTCCACTAAATTAATGACAAACAGTTGAAAGTAAAAAGTGTTCTGCTCCTGGCAGAATGAAAAAAGCCACTGGAATAGCATTCATCAGAATACAGTGGGTTTATACTGTCAGCAGATGGGTTACTGACTCTCATTCAAACCCACACGCCAACACCTGCGTATACTCACCTTCTTGAGGACTTCGGGTGGCAGTAAAGTCTCAACGGGAAGCTCCCACCAGCAGTCACTTCCTTTTTCTTTGAAAAGCTTTGCTATGTGGGAGACTGTGTATCTGCAGAGGCCAGAGAAATGACAACATGTCTGAGTGTGTGTACAAATATTTCTGTAAGGACCATTTTCAGGCTTGATCTTACGGAGCAAGGACCTTTTCGCCGGTCCTCCTGTGTGTGTGTGTGTGTGTGTGTGTGTGTGTGTGTGTGTGTGTGTGTGTGTGTGTGTGTGTATGTGTGTGTGTGTGTGTGTGTGTGTGTGTGTGTGTGTGTGTGTGTGTGTGTGTGAGTGTTACATAGATTTTGTCTGTAAAATATCTCTAAAAAGTGTGTTTATGTGTACATGTCCAAATATGTGTACAAGCCCGTCAGCATGTGTGTTGTGTGTCGGCTCACTTGTTCATGAGAGGCTCTCCGGTCTCTTTGTGGTAGAACACAGGGATCGGGACGCCCCAGCTTCGCTGTCTGGAGATGCACCAGTACGTCCGTCTGTCCAGCATGGCCAGCAGGCTGCTCTTTGCTGACTCTGGCAAAACACGCACCTTCTGCAGCACCTCCTGGAAACACACACACATGCAAGTAGATACGTTTTTTCTTTGTAAAATGAATACTTTCCTGGAAACATACACACAATTTTGTGTTTTCCTTTTTTAATAAGGCAAACGGGATCTTAATAAAAACTAGTTTTATGACGTGGCTGAGCAGCTCACCTTAGCTTTGTCTTTGAGCGACGCCGTGTTGATGAACCACTGTTTACTGGGCCTGATGACGACAGGCTGCTTTGTCCTCCAGTCATACGGGTAACTGTGGACACACTGCTCCTCTTTCACCAGAGCCCCACACTCCTTCAGCATGGAAATCACTTCACACAGGTCGGCAGGTGAATTACATAGAAGAGCACGGAGGAGAAAAAACCCACGGACCATATAAAAAAGAGCTCACACATCCACCTGCTCTCAGGGGGAGAGTTATGTCCTCTTTATGCTGTTACCTTTATCTGTGCCTTCAATCATCACAGACAGATTCTGTAGCTCAGGACCTGCTGCTTCAGTGAACTTGCCATCCTCATCCACCATACACTCCTGAGGTGGAAGCAAAACATACAGTCTTACAGTTGTAAACCAAAATGATCACAACATAAAATCAACAGATTATTATTAGAGAAATAACATATATGTTATTGATTAAAATCCAAATTCAAGAGTATCTAACTCTTAACAACAGTAAACTATTTATTAAATGACACCATTGATTTTCTATTTGACCGACTTCTCATTTCAGCACTACATTGAATGATAGTTAACCTAACATAGTGCACAGTAAGTCCAAAGACAAGATTTTCGTATTCCTGAAAGGTGGAGGTTTTAAAAACACAACGCACCACAGACAGTTTGAACTGAGAAGCCACACTGTAGTCGTCCATGCCGTGAGCTGGTGCTGTGTGGACCAATCCTGTTCCCTTCGCCATGGTAACATGATTGGCTGGCAACAGCGGCACATCCTTGTCAGGAATCGTGGGATGTTTGCAGACTCCACCTTCAAGTTGGGGACCTTAAAGGAGAAAGCCAGGGGACATTTGCGTGGTTATATTTGTGAAAGGACACAAAAAAATGCAGTTAACACTTTTGTGTGTCTCTTTTGTAAATGTGTTTTTTTACCTGTGAAGGTGGCGACACTCTCCAGCTCTGTGCCCAGAAGAGCTGCGATGCTGGCTGTACGTTCAGAGGCCACCAGCAGAAGCTGAGAGTTGTCTGCCCTCTTCACCACTGAGTACCTGCAGACAAAAAAACAACAAGAGGCTGCTGACTTTCCACTGTAGTTAGAAATCATTACGTGATTTTTTTTTAAACTAGAAAAGTCGTTGTCCTGTTTTGCAGCTGCTATTAATCCTCAACACAAATGCAGTGTAGTAACAAAGGAAGAGGTGAGAGGAAATGTTGAAACATCCTTTTTGGGACAGGAAAACAACCCAGAGTGGGTGGAAATCCACACATCTGTAAATCTTGTGTAACTATTTATATAAATTATTAATTGTTAAAATCAATCTTCAAATATGAAGGTTTAGTAATTTTTCTTGATCCTCTATGAAAATAAACTTGGGTTTTGGACTAAACATTTAAGAGCTGTGTGTTTATTGAGTTCATGAATATAATCTTTTGGTACAGGTACTTACTGAGTATTGGGCATGTAGCACACAGCCTCATTTGCAGGAATGGTCCAAGGCTGAGTGGTCCACACCAACACAGAGACATTTTCCAGACCTGCCGAGGTCACACATGCAGACACACACAATTATGAAAATTCTTCCACAGGTGAGAAACATAAAACTTGGAATTATCTATGTGAATGTGTTTCTAGTACCTTTTTCTGAGGCCATTTTAGGTGGCAGTGTGATCAGGGGAAATGTGGCATAAATGGCTCTGCTCACATGTTCAGGGTTGTATTCCAACTCTGCCTCTGCTAGAGCCGTCCTAGAGACAGGAATCGAGACAACAAGAAAAATCTTATATGTACAATCTGGTTCACACTACATAAACTATATATACATTGTATATAGTAATGCTTTATTTTATATCTAAAAATATTTTTTTTAATTATTCATTATATTTATATTCTTATTATTTCCTTTGCTGCTGTAAAATAGGAAACTTACCCACTGTAGGACTAGTATTATCTCATAAGAAGTAATCAAGTACTGCAAAGGAAAAATGAAAAATGTAATCAACTCATTACCTTGATGAAGGAGACCAGAAGATTGGCTTGTAGTCCTGGTAGATGAGTTCCTGCAGACAAACATAGTAGGAAAAAAAAATGAATCCAGGCAGATGCAATCCAATAATGATCATCTTCTACAACCACTGACAGGTAGAAGTAGATTTGAATTATTTCCTCACTATAGTAAGTGAGTAAATAACACTTACTATTGTCACTAATGTTGTTATGAGATATATTAAATCCAGACATAAACTCTGATGAATAGCATATGATTGTTCACCTTGCTGTGCATTTCCTGGAAGACTTTCAGCTGAGCAGCCTCATAGGCCCCATCATATGTGTAGTAACACTGGTCCCAGTCAGCCATCACCCCCCAGCGCTGGAAAGCAGCCCTCTGACGAGCTATGGCCCCATCTGCAAACTCCCGTGCTAGCAGAGATAGAAACAGAACTTTTGAGCAACTGCAAATCTAATATTGCTCATGTTGTGGCGACCATCTGCCCTTTCTAACCTTTCTGTCTGATTTGTAGTGGTGTGAGGCCGCTGGTCCCCAGCTCCCCCAGAGCCTTCAGCTCGATGGGCAGGCCATGGCAGTCCCAGCCAGGGATGTAGTGGACCTGACGGCCCCTCAGCATCTCAAAACGATTACGGATGTCCTTTAGAATCTGTATCAAATAAAATGCTATCAAGTTAACAATTATTTTGGCAGTGCTTGAGTCTATTGTTATTGTACCATAACAGTAGAGAATAAATGAAATACAAACAGAACACTGTAAATAAAACACCTTATTGAGTGCATGTCCAACATGAGGGTCTCCATTGGCATACGGGGGTCCATCATGAAGGCAGAACTCCTTCTTGGCCTTCCTCTCTCTCTGCCAGGAGTACAACTCTGCAAATCCACACTCCTGCAATTCACAGAATGAGAGTTTTAGTGTGTAATTTATAATGTGACAAAACACAAAGCGACATAATGAGGGGGCTGCCTGTGCTTATCTATCAAGTTAGGGTCTGTGTTATGAAAAGTAAAGTCAACACACACATCACATGAAGGCTGTGACAAGCGAGTGACAGGCACTATTTACATTCTGCATGATCCAGGCTCATGTCTGTTTCACATCGAGGAAATTGACCTTTGGTCAAATGCGAATTATGCCGAATTATAGACCGAGCACAAAATAAATGTAGGAGATGTTAGTTTTTGAGCTACAGTGTCTGTCCAGCTGCAACAAGCACTTTAAAACAATCTTGACAGTTTTCCGTCCCTGCCTGGAAGTCGTACCTGCTGGATCTGCAGCTCTCGGTCCAGCAGCTTCTGTCCGGTCAGTTTCATTGGGAACTCGGTCCGGGGAAGGAGCACCGTGTCACGGTACAGTGCCGGAGCAGAGCCGCTCTCTGACGGCTGAGCGCTGCCTTCTCCGGAGCTGACACCATGACAGCGACTGGAGCTGAAGTGGAGAGCCGGGTGGAGGAGGCCGCCTGCCCGCTGTGACCTCCGTGTCCACCTCGCTAGCGCATGGCTCACTGCCGAAACCCGGCACAGCAGCATGGAGAGGCGAGGAAGCTCTGCGGCCACTGAACGGAGGGAGAAGCACTAAAACACAGAGAAGTGTGAGGCTGCTTCCTTGTTGTGACTGGAAGAGGCTCACCTGTCGCTGAGTTCCGCTCTCCTCACTGCGCTGTTTCTTCCGGAAGAAATAAGAGGGCGGACAACTACGGCAGCCCAGCGGGGTCATTACCAATGTCCAACCAGATTCCACAAGTACTTTATCAATGACATCAAGTCTGGATGATTCCTCACGATGACCTCATCTCTAATAACAGTAATAATAATAATAATAATAATAATAATCTCCATCAATGATTATAATAACCATCATCACAAATATTACCCTGCCAATCACTACATTTTCTTTGTGTAAGAACCATCCGTCCTGTGTTGCACCTATTTCAAACGATTTTACATTGACAATTTATCTTTAAAGAATTTGTTTTATTGTGGGAGGATGGGTAGATTATGTTTTTGGTCAAACCAAACTATAAGCATTTTTTTATTCTAAACAGAAAGCCTATTATAGCCCATTACATGCATTTATTTTGAATGTATTTCTAAGTAACGTCTGGCTCTACGGTTTTTAGTTATTGTCTTTTATATAGTGTCCCTGTTACTATGTAAAACTCTATCTCTAACAAAATATTGAGAGGGAAGGTAAACCAACTATATGCATTTAAACCTAAACACTAACATGCATGTGGTCACTAGGAGGCGCTGTTTATCTATGTTTTAGAGTAATTGAGTACCAGCAATGTGCTTGTTCTATATATATAGAGAGAGAGATCTATCGACTATAACTATATTTATTTATGTATATTTCACTCAATACAAATATAGTTATGTTCACTGTTGACTAAATGCTGACTATTTCCTGCAGCACATGAATGCAGCACGGTGCAGGCTGCAGCAGGTGGTTTAAGTGGCTGATGACGTCACGGTGGGTATAAAGGCCTCAGCAGCGTCTGTAGTTTCATTCACTGACTGATCAGAGGATCCTGCAGTCACAGATCTCAGCTTCTCCACCCTGCAAACATGAAGACCATGTGTGTCGCCCTCCTCGCAGTTCTGCTGCTGGCTCTGGTGTTCTCCTCACAGGTTTGTTTCTTCTGTCTCTCCCTTTCCCATTTTAACTTTTACATGGATACTATATTTTTAAAGTGTACTAGTTGACCAGCTTTTGCTTTTTTGGGGACAAAATGTTCACGTTGAACAATTGAGTTTTTTGGTTTTCTATTTTAAGCTTTTGTTACAGGTCTTTTATCTGTACTGAAATGTGAACTGGTGCCCTGATTGCAGTCTTTAAACTGACTTAAAGTTAAATAGTGCAGCTATATTACATATTTGTTGAATTATTTCTTTGTGGTTTGTTTTCTCTTCACAGGTTTGTTTTTTGACTGAAGTATACTAATTCTAAATTTGTGAGAGTTTGAGCTTTTGTTTGGGGATAGAATGTTTAAGAACACTTGAACCCTCTATTTAGCGTCTGCCACAGGTGAACATCATTTGCTATGGGAGGATGACTTAACACTAGACTGCATTTCATCTTAACTGAATTATTATCAAGAGCATGTAATGTTTTTGAGTTTGTTATACTACTGTTTCTCCCAATTCTCTTTTCACTATCCCCTGTGCAGCTGGAACATGGAAGATTGTAACTTAAGGATCATTTATTTGTAATGTAGATTCACTTACTGTGACAATGTGGCTAAATACCAAGATTTAATTGAAGAATCATGAGCCTCAAATTGGTCACATCAATTTTTAAATTAAAGTTTGTTTGAAATGGTCCAGTGACTTCAACCAACTTCTTGCTGGTGAGTGACCATCTCTGCCATCAGGTTTTCTTTGAAACTTAGTGTAGGCAACATGAAGGGCTTCTCAGATGTTCCTCGCTACACCTGATATGCATGGATGTGTTGTAGTTTTAAATGAAAAAATCAAAATGTGGCCTTGTGTTTCCAGGTGGTTGTAGCCCAGTCCAACATCACCATCGTGGCTCCAAGTGACTCCAACAGCAGTAAGCCCCAGTCTGGAGAAGCGAATGCTGCCGAGAGGACCGGAGGCCTGACGCTGCTGCTGCTGCCCTTGGCCCTGGGAGCCTCTCTGCTCCAAGATTGGTCACAGTGACTGGAGTGATTCTCTGCACTGAACTGACCGAGGGCCAAATGCTATTGAGAATTTGTATTTAATAAAATCCCCTCTTGCACATTGGAGCAGCGGTTGGATTTCACCCAAGAGTGCACCAATCAGACACCCCCTGTTCTCAGCTTCACCCTTCATGGACTACGTGAGGGGGGGTTATTTATATAAAAAGTACCACATCCTGTATAAATGCAGAACTAGTTGAAAAACATTCAATTTCCATTTACGCAGGTTGTGATTCATGTATACTTGGTGCAGCCTTTAAGCTTGAAAGTGATTGTAAACAAGTTTAGAAAGTTTTCTTTTTTTAATGCATTCTGGAAATGTGACAAATGTAAAAACATTGTGCTTTTTAGATCTTGACTTTTTGTAAGTTGTGTTGAATAAAGCTTTCCTTTCTGTGAAATTGACTGATCCCCCTTTTTTTAATCTTTTGTTGAGCTTGAAAGCTAAATGTGCAGTTTAAACTTAAGTATATCAAATGGTGTTCATCTTAATTGCACCTTGGGTGGATTACTGCACTGCTTTTAAACTAAAGCTCCTTAACTGCCATAAGTCAAGTAACCGCCTCAGTGCTGGAACCCTGAGTCAATACTGTTTGACAAGAAACAAACTCCCAGTCTTGAGGCACATGTTGGGGGGGGGGGGGTTATTACCTAGTTTTGTGGCCTCCTGGTGCAGTGAACTGTTGAGCCACCTTGATTGGAAAATTAACATCCCTGAATGAGGTTAAATGTTTGCATTCAAATGTTCTAAACACAATTCTAGTGAGTAGTAGAAAGTCTACACATCTTCTGCTGCAGATTAACTGCATTTCTTGCAACTACACCTTGGTGATGATTAACCAATTCAATTGGCTTTTATGATGCAAATTGTGCTTAAATTTGTCTCTAATGGTTGCACTTACAAGTAGCTTTAGATAAAAGCATCAGCTAAATGAAATGTATTGAGCCCTTAATGTACCTGATGCATGGTCTCATCAAAGGGCCTCTCTGTGAGCTGGCTACTGGAATTCACCTGTAACCCCCACCTGAGCGTACGTGCATGCTTGATCTCTGTGGGAACCACATCCCACTGATCACGTGACAAAGGCTGCATTGTCCAGCGCTTATCTGCTCCAGAGGTATAGACTGTTATCAGGTGACCCTGTCTTCCCCTTCGTAAGGTACATAAACTTCAAAGGTGTGAGCTTTGAAGATGTAGATGTCCATCTTTACCTTTCCTCTGATGCTATACTGAGTAAGAGGCATAAGCCACATTCCTGTATCACAGCCTTGAAATGTCAAAGACACTAGTGTGGTCAGTTGATCCAGAGAAGAGTTCTCACTTTAGTTGACCACCAGAGTGTGAAGTACCTCTCGTTCCTTCCAGCTGCTCCACCCATCCTCTCCTGTCAACCTGAAACCTAAGCAACAGACAATGGGTTTAGGTGTCTGTTTGCCGTTGGAGGGAGTGAGCACATGCAAAGAACCACATAAAGGAGGGGAGAGGGGGATGAAGGGAATGTGAAGGACACTCCAGATCTGAGCAGCCCCTTCACTTGCTCTCGACCTCACTCTTCTCAAAGCAGGAATCTGCATTTCAGCACAGTTCAGACAAAGAGGTTTCAGTTCTCTTAGTGCTTTAGTGTTACCATCTAAACATCCATGCTGTTTTTTTATGGCTTTACTTGAATGCTTCTGCTTTTAGAACCAGTTTTAAACATTTGAAACATAGACTGTGGTTTCTCAATATGAAACTTCATTTATGTTTGGATTCGTTTTATAAAGATTCTTGAAACCCAGAAGATGAATCCTACAGCGATTTGTCTTTTGCATCAACACCACATCAAAATTGTTACTTCCCTTTGAGATTAAATTAAAAAAAAGATGTTATCTCTGACCAGCAAAACACACATTCGTGTGCAGCATGTTACAGCCTGTTGAAAAACAGACGTACACAGTTTCTTAAAATCTTACTCCATCCTTTATTCCTTACATTCTGGTCATTTCATGGTCAGGTCAGTGGAGTAAATCTTAATATGACAGGAGAGGCTGAGTAACACAATGTTGATTCATTCATTTTCACAGATTCAGACGTCCAACGTCCTGTGTAGGAAAGAAACATTTTGCAGCTCGTTGGCAGGGAAACAACAGGGAGCAACTTCCATGTTGGTTTCCATTTGATTTTAACATTTATTGATTCAAAAGAAGCATATTGATGATTTGATATTGGTCATTGCATGCATCTCCCTGTGCAACCATATCAGCAGCTAGTGCTTACTAAGTTTATTGTATTGATACGACATCATTGCATGAATAATCGCTTCAGGGAAATTCAGATGAGCTCTGTCACCACATCCTGAGCGATGATTCAAAGAAGATGTCGTGGGGGTGTAATGTTTGACTGATAAAAAACAAAAACTCACACACCAGTCAGTTTTTCTGTTCTTCACACAGAGATTATAGCGTAAAATCATTATTTCACTTTGTATCAAATGTCATTTGCAAGTAGGAAGAGCCAATTATCAATGGAACATCTCTGAATGAGGAACAAATATGAGCACTTGACTGGTTACTGTTGCAACCGTCTGCAAGTGGTGTTGGGGTGGATGTATTTCCCTGCAGATTAGAGTAAAATGTTCTCAAATGTAAGTGGTTCTAATCCCAGTTTGGCCCAGACCTGTTAACCGGAGACTCTAAATTGTCTGTAAGTGTAAACGTGAGTGTGAAGTGTTTGTCTCTGTGATTCACCTGTTCAGGGATGCATCTTTGTTGTCATGCTGATAAATATTTGCATAAAATGAAGGTTGGTATAGTCAAGAAAAGGCACAAGTTATATTTTTGAATACTTGGCAGGACAGATTTAACATCATTAGGCAAAATAAAACTGGAGAAAAAGTGATCGGAATGTATGAAGAACAATATTTATAAAGTAGTTGTAGTGGTTCAAATAGTAGGCTATTAGAAAGGAGGCAGGTGAGGGGGCGGAGGCCTGTTACATAAACAAGCTTTACATTTACAGTACATGTTACTTATATTTCCTCTTTATAGCTTAAGGCAAAAAGAAAGTTTCCATCCATCTATTCACCGAACCCTCCGAGTGTTATACAAGCAGAGGAAAATGGGCAGAGTACATCCTGAACAGGGCAGCAGCCCAACACACACACACACACATGTTTGAATGGCATCTGAAACAGCCTTTTAAAAGAATGCTGAGCTAATGCTACCACAGGTTAATCTGTGGAAGGTGCACAAAGCCAAAGGAACCAAACTGTGTATTTGGGGAAATCCCTTCACCTGGCACCACCCGGCTGTGTCACTAATCATCTGGTTCAAATAGAAACAGGCCGACACAACGCAAGCACACACACACACACTACACACACAATAGTTGCTTGCTTTACGTCTTTAAAATAAAACACCCACATGGTTTTCCAGGGAAAGACGTGATTTGACATTTGCAATACAAACTCCCTCTCTCTAACCAATAAAACTATGCTCACTGTTTGGATGTCTTCTCTCCTGTGGTGTCTAATCTCATTTTGCTGAGCTCTGTGAAGATCAATGTGCCATCTGAAGGGAACTACTTCATGATGTGTGGCGTTCTGTGGCGTCAGTTGGCATACACTCATTTAGTAGCTACACCACAGCTAAAAATAAAACAACAGCTCTGTTTTGATTTTGACAAAAATTATGACAGAGAGGTGTTGATTCATGGTTGCACTAAATATTGTTTATTGCAATGTGGTTTTTCTACCTTACAATAACAGCAACATAAAAAAAACTTTGAGGGGGAATGGCATGTCTGCCCCCTGGAGGCCTGGGACGAGTCGGAGCTAACCATAAGAGACAAGTTGGTCACCGTTCTCAGTGTGGGCGGAAACCAAAGAGGACATTGTTGGGTGATCAAAAGAAGAGCAAAAAAAGAAAGTGACCTAGTAAGAAACCATACAAGAGTAAATATGAAAGCATATTTAAATTTTGTTGGCAAAGAGGCCAAAGGATGCAGGACAGATGTTGACCCGGCGTTGTCGTTAATGGACAAATACGTCATAACTTTTGCTTGCTCGCTTTATGTCAGGTTGTGTAAGCAAAGTTGTCGACTCGCTAGTCATCTGAAGCCAAGTCAACCCAATTTGAGTTTAAGCCGATAAATTGGGTCATATTTGTGTAAAATCTCTCCCTTGTCAGTTGACATTGTTTTTTGGATTGTGAGGTTCTCATGTACAGCTGTTTGCATGGGGGAGGCTCGGACCAAAACTCTGAGTTATGACAGTGAGTTACACATCACACCTGCAGGGGGAACCCAAATATGTCCAAGAGCAAAAAGCAAGCGCTTTAATGTCTTGTAGTCCTGTGTGAAAAGAAAGCAAAAGACTATAACTGAGGGACCAGTGTCTGCTATTATCCAGTACAAATTAAAGGCATGTCTTGCTGTCTTACAGGGACGATGTAGGAGAGTAAAGTCATATGTGGTCGAGACATGGCTTATGTGAAGAGTCTGTGCTTTTCATTACAGCACATCCTTCACTGTTGGCTCAAAATTCATTTTTGTTTAATGAACAGGATCCGGATCAAATGACAAGCCCTGGAGAAAGCCAGGCAGGTGGGAGGGATGGAGTGCAAATCCACACATCCAGAGAGGGGATGTCAAAGCAAACACAAGCCATGTGTGGGCTCTCTGAATTCTGCTGTGTGTGTCTGGCTCAGCAGAGGTGACTCATCATCCTGCGGTCAGTGACCACACAATATTTTCTTGTTAGAAGAAGAAGATATACTTTTATTGTCACGTTCAACACTTTTACATGTATACATGAAATTGTTCTCCGCATTTAACCCATCCAGTTGGCACCGGGATGAAACACACATTGACAGATGCCATGTACACACATATACTGGAGCGGTGGGCTGCTGTTGCCAGCGCCCGGGGAGCAGATGTTGGGGGGGGCGGTGCCTTGCTCAAGGGCACCTCGGTCGTGGTGAGCGGGAGCGGGGATCGAACCGCCAACCTTGGTTATTGGGCGACCTGCTCTACCAGTTTCCAGAACTGTAATTGGCTGAATGGATACATTTTACTTGAGTTGACTCTACCCATTTAATGTGGATCGTCTTTGCATGTCAGGGAAAGTATCTAATCCTGGCTGGTGTTTAGTCACGGCAAGTTGTTACTCATCTCAACTCAGTGGAAACAGCCTGTAGTTCCTTTCTTCTCAGACATACACCTGCAGAGGAAATATCTCTTCCACGTTTGAATAACTTGAATGGCTGAACACTTTGTCAAAATGGATTGGAGAGAGATGTTTGAGTCAAAGTCGAGACTTGTGACATAGATACTGATAAGATGGTAAAAAATATGTTTTTCCTAACAGAGCTGTGCCCACTGGTGGACACATCTAGTGAACTGTGCCCATCGGTCATCTATCTCTTTGTTGCTCTTTTTGCTTTGTGGATTAAAATGAGTCTTTGTCTTCAGAAAACTCAGCACAGGTCAAATAACTCCTCCAGTCTGAATTCTGAAGTGTCCTTGTTAACATACTGACGGCTGTTCAAACAGTGTATGAATGGTGTGTGAAAGGATGAATACAGCTTGTATTCTAAAGCTGGGTCAATAAGACTGTTTATATCAAATTAATCAGAAACTAGTTAGTTTAGTTGTCCTTAGATATACTGCTTCTGTATTGATCTCTGTGTATTTCTCATTCAGGTGCATTTAAAGCTGACATGTGAACACTTTGAGGTTACAGTGTCCTGGTTCAGCCTGATTGTGGTAACACACTGATTAATCTCAGCAGTGAAATGAGCTCCATGAGCTCCATGAGCTCCATGAGCTCCATGAGCTCCATGAGCTCCATCTGCTCCTCCCTCAGTCAGTCTACAAAACGTGGAATGGAATCAGAGTTGGTTCCATTCAGGAATTCAGTCGCACCCACAGAAGTTTAGGTTGATATTTTTTTATAGTTTTTATAACAGATATTCATTGTCATTTTTTTTTTTTAATGTGGTACATTTATCAGTTTTGTCAAATGCCAGATAAAATTGCTGTCAGAGGCTGCTACTTTGGGCCATATTGGCAATTATGCTATTGTGATATTAAAAATAATATTTTCAATTGTGTCTTGTCAAGAAAGTAGATTTAATTTTATTTTGAAGAAGAAGAGGCTTATTCATTACATTCTAAAACAGGATCACTTCGATTGTTTGGAGGAGTTTGAGGAGGAAACGTAGGACGAGGTCGTGAACATCTTTTGTAGAAATTCCCTCAAGGCATTTTTGAGATGTCCCGTTCACAAGAATTGGACGGACGGATAATCTGAAAAGCCACAGAGTCTAATCCGAACAGTGTATCTTCACTTAAAGTGGCTGTAATCTCCTCATTGTTAGTTAGGTTCATGTCGTGTCCATAACGTTTACACTATAAGGTCATGATGTGGCTGTACCTTGTGACTTGGTCAACAGTTGGTTCTTTATGTCCTCAGTTCACTTTATACAGCAGAAGTTTGTTCCCTTTCAGTCGTTCTTGTGTCAGTGCTGCTCTTGCTGAAGTCTCCATGGTCACTGATGGAGGGAAACCCAACCCTTTGCTCAATCCATTGGGCGACACTGAGCAGCTTCATATCTTGGACAGTGGGGCCGATTAGCTGTAAACCAATGGGAAGGCCCCGTCTTGATAATGCGGTTGGCACTGACACAGCGGGAAGACCTGGGGTGAAGAAGAGAGATGGAAGAAGAAAGATAGTTCATGGGAAGAGAATAATTAGGTGGTTAAGGTTAGTTAGAGGTTAGTCTTGGACAGGACAAGGTTTAACTGAATATAAACACACAGGATTACACCTTAATCTGAGTGGAAATGATGAGGTGTTGAGGTTGAATGTTATGATTTGTTGCCTTCCGAGAACTGCTTTTGCTCACAATTTTTCAGTTCCTCTTTCATTTCCCTGGCAAATGTATGAAATAATGTGCCTTTGTCTCAGCAAAGAAGCAGTAATTATATTTAAATCATATTGATGAAATATCTTCAGTTGCAGTTGTGTGGCTGCACAGTGTGTGTTTATCCCTGCGTGCAGAATAAACACATTTCCTACAAATGCATGAACAATGCTACAAGTTCTGCCTAAAGCTCTGGTCTTGTCTCTGTACCTGCTATGTTGGCCGGTTGGGTGAAGACATCTTCCTGTGTGCTGCGTGTTCGGTTGTCTTCCTGTGTGAAGTCAGAGTACCGGGCTGCGTCCGTCAGAGTGGTGGGTGTCAGCAGCACGTCAACACCTGAGCTGAACACGCGCTTGAAATCATCCGCTATCAGCCGGCGGACTTCCTGGGCCTTTACAAAGTAGTGCTGGTAGCTCCTGGCAACATCAGATTGATAGTGTCAATCGCTTCATCCTGGCTGTTTTTGAAATATTACAGCACCACCATATCATTTTATGCCTCCTTAAATTTAGAAATACAACTTAAATAACCAAAAGTATTCTACTGTAGTTGTAGAGTCTGATGATGACAGAGATCTTAGGGAACAGAAAAAGTCAAAGTGAGGAAGTGACACGCTGACGGCGATAGAGCTCAACAGCATGGTTACAGAGGGAAAACTTCCCACAATTCTCAGGTGTAATAGCAATGTCTGTGATTGTTGGAGCTCGCTGTTACCATGGAAATGTTTACCCCAACTTCAGAACAAAATCGTATCGGCTACAATTGGATCGTTATGTTTAACACAGATCAACCATGATTCCCCTTTCAAACATACTGCAGCTTTTTTTTCGTTAAATTCAAACACCCTGGAAGTTGGAAGTTGAAAAGGGATAATTCGCAATGGTTTATGGGATGCGCATTTCCTCCCCTCCTAAAATCATTATGTAAACAGTCTTGTTCCTTTGCCTTTTTAGGGTTGGGGTTTTCCAATTTATTTTTGCTCAAAATCAAACATGTTATGGTCTGGATTTATCTCCTAGCTGTTGGCCTGGTTCCAGACTTAAAACCGATTTTTCTGAAACGTCAATGGAGTAAAAGAACAGGAAATGTACTTTCAGAGCCAGAGCTGTTCTAAAAGTGGGAGGTCTCTATTAGGCTCCATACATTGGTTTGAAGTCTGAGGTAAGTGAAGCACAATGCTGTGAGAGGGTTCAGTCTGTTGTCTCACTGTTTAAGCAGGAAGTAGTTCCCAGAAAGAATCCTCCCTCTCACTACGTCATTGAAGCCCTCATGTCGGGTTGAAGCGTACATGGCCTCTGTCGAGCTGTTCACCTCACTACGGTGGCCTGACAGAAGAGGGACGGAAATCATTGTCATTACCTTTATCATCCTGTGACATGTGGTTTAATCCAACACAGGATTTGTGATTCACAGCAAATTGCTCCTCACCACAAATCTACCATATTGGAGGCAGGTTCATACCGTATTCAAGGCCATCGAAACGGGCCATGTTAGATGCCACTTCCGCGGTACACAGGACGTGGTAGCACACAATGGAGTACTGGGTGTGGGGAAGCGATACTTGCTCCACCCTTGCACCTGCTCTCTCAAACATGTCAGCAACTCGACTCCACTGAGCTAGAATCTCTGCAGACAGCCCCGGGGCATGGTACTCCTGACAAAACAAGGAAGAAAAGGAGTTTTTGAAAATTGTATGCAACTGTGTTCAAAAAGGCAGCATACTGTAATGTACTGTGCATGAATTTTTCTTTGTGACAAAAAACCTGGAAATAGAATTTATTAAATGGATAATATACTATCAACAGCTCTTTTTCAGTAAAACATTATACAGTGAAAGTTTCTTCCCCAATTTTTTGTTTTTCTTTTTCATGTAGTCTTTCTCTGCGTATCTATATCAGTATTTTATTTTACTTTATCTTTTTTTCTGGTAGAATGAGGATTTAAGTTCCCTCTGAAACTATGTTGTCGGTGATGCTGAGATAATTCAGACGAGAGATCACAGCTTAAATCCAGAGCTAAACTCACTTTAGGGATACCAACACAGATGTTCTTTACGTCAAAGTCTTCAGGCAGCTCGGTCAGGGATGACGGGGAAGGGATTGTTGTTGAGTCTCTAATATCGACGCCTTGGAGGATACCTGTGAAACATGAGCAGGTGTGCTGTATTTACAATGACACATATTCTTGTCATTACATGAACAGATGTAAAGGTGCCCTGTGGAAATTTCTTTTGTGTAGAAAAGTAATGTGTTTTTCACCCAAATGCATTGTGCGTATCCTTAAGGTCAAACAAATATAATATAAATATAAAGATTATTTTTTTGTTTTTCATGTGTGCATTGAAAATTTACATTTTTGCCTGCTAGCCTTTGTTGACTCACTGTTGTATCTATTGGTGTAGAACTGCTGGATTATTGCAAAACCAGGGGCATGATGGGATGACAGGATACACATGATGACTCACCTATAAGAATATTGCTCTATAGTGCCACTAGTGGCCAAATCACCACAGTGTATCTTTAATGTCAGTATTTCTTCTGGTATTTGGGAACTGTGTTTGGGAAATCTCCAACAACCATTTTCTGACACATTTGACCCTCAACAGTAAATTGTAACATTTATTGCACATTCATTGGTGCCTAAATATGGACTGGATTACTGGACTTTGGAATACTGATCTTGATAAAACATTTGAAACCAAAAATCAATCATAATGTGGTGGTCAGTGTTGACATTGTGGTAGTGGCCAGAAAAAAAAAATCAAGCACAAAAATACTTTCAATTCATTGTGAAACTTTTATTATAATGTTTTATTTTTTTGCACTAGTTACTGACATTTGTACTTTATAGTTTTATTTGCACTAGTGTATTGGTATTTGTATTTTTAGTTACTCTTATTTTCTGACACTATTACATGTTGAGTTGCTGGAGGTGCCTGGGATTTAAGATTTTCATTGCCAACATGTACGCTGTATCTGTTGTGCAGATGACAAATAAAACATTTGAACCTTTGAAACTTTATCAGATCAAAGGTTTTCCTACCTAGGACAATGGCTGCATCGCTGACACTGCGTGTCATAATGCCGGGGACGTCCATGGAGTTGACCAGAGGGATCAGACCGTGTCTGGACAGTAGACCGTAGGTGGGCTTCAGGGCCACAACGCCACAAAGTGCTCCAGGATTACGGGTAGAACCACCTGTGTCTGAACCCAGAGCTCTGCGAAGTAATCACCAAAACACCTCATTTACAATTGTAAACACTATTTCAAATCTAATTACGTCTATGTTTATTTATTTTAGACAGTTTTCCCGGACCAGTAATGATCAGACATGATTCTGTTCTCTCACAGGTAGCTAGAGAGTGAGGCCACAGCTGCAGCACTTCCTCCTGAACTTCCTCCAGTTATGACCCAGTCAGAGTCCGGTGACGCCCCTGTCTGCTCTCTGTAGGGAGCAGCGTAGCTCCAGGGATTCCTCACTGGACCCCAAGCCCCGTCCGTACTCCCTGAACTTTGAAATACATAAATATATAGATATGTGTCTCTTTCTGCAGGTGTAAACACCTGTAACAGCTTTTCTCAAGTAATAAAGAACATATACTGGGATTTGTAACTAGCTGTTAGCAAAATAATACAACTATGGCCTTACCCCATAGCAAACTCATCCATGTTTGTCTTTCCCACCAGGACAGCCCCTTGGTCTATAAGCTTCTGGACGACTGTAGCATTGTACGGAGGAGTGTAGTCTGTAGCAAAAATCGTGGCAGGTTATCATTACTGGATTACATTGGCTGGAAAATATTAGACAGGGTAACTCATATTAATTTACCTCTGAGCATCCTGGAAGCACATGTGGTCCTGATATTCTCTGTGCAGTAGTTATCTTTGACTGCAAAGGGGATTCCATCCAGAGGACCTTTGGGGGCACCTGATGGGTGACAAGGTCAGACTGTAACATTCATGACTCCACTCAGGACAGAATAAAATGAACACCCATGTGTTCACACCTTGCAGCAGTCTGGTTTCTGCTTGTTGAGCCTGCTTCAGTGCCAGCTCCTCTGTCACAGTGATGTAAGCATTAAGATGTTGAGTTTTCTTGATGCGGTTCAGACACCTTCTACACAGCTCTGTCGGGGTGATCCTTCCCTCCCTGAGTGCCAAAGACACCTGGAAAACAGTGAAACACCAGAAGTGAAATGTAACTCACTTCTTACACTCCAAAGAGCTTTTTCAAAGCAAACATAGAACTGTAGTAGAAAAGAACAGAAGTTATTAATACAATAAGAATCATCAGAACGTATTCCCCTCCGGCACCCACATACAGTAACTTCAAAGAGAAGATAATTTGCTGCTATCACAGTTTCCTGAAGTCGTAATATTTCTCTCAAGAACCCATAATATTAAAAGTCACCACTAAAATACCATAACACAATTATGAAATGTTATTAAAAATGTGTTGTCAAGTTTTTTTCCAGAAATGCATTTTCCTGCTGTAAAATGTAAAAATGTCTTACAGCAAAAAAGCCTAGTTCAAGTACTAGTTCTGTTGTACTTATTTAAGTACTTTTACTCCGCTAGATTTATTTGACAGTTAGCTGTGAATTCTTGTGAAGATTTTAAAAAATCAGTCATTATGTCAACTATAACACTGAAATAGGGCTGGGATAAAAAAAAACTATATATCAATTGATTTTGATATTCTCACAATAAATGTCATATTTTTAAAATCTTAATTTTGAGTGAATGTTGTAGTTTTAAACTCTTATGACAGACAATGACAAAGACACATGACAAAGGGCAAACCGTTATCTAAAATCTGAGGAAGACCAACTATGTGTTATATGTCCTCACTGCTGGACAAAACTTGTGTTATATTGCTACTGATGACAATTATATTGCGATGCTTATTGAAATATGTTTATAGCCCAGCCCTACTACCAACACCCTCGCTGATCACATTAAAGTGCAACTTACATGTTGAGTCATAATGACAAACAACACTGAATGCTGTGATTCTGCATCATGGCCTAAATGATTAAATAAATAGAGTAAAGATTAAGTAAATATTTCTGCTAATACTTAATCATATGGTTATCTTGAAAGCTGGACTGTTAACACAGGGTATTGTTTGAAATTAAACAGCATCATTGGTACTTAGATTAAATTAAAGGTCTTTCCAATGCTCGTTGTTTTGTTACTGCAGCACAGACAGGCATCTTATAAATACTGTAGTTTATAATTAAGCAGTTTATCAGCTGTATTGGTTCTTTATGCATTAAACTGTGTAATAAAGTTTCTATAAAGAAAGAAGGACCACCAGACAATTCAACTGTTTAGTATGAACATATATATTTCAACCACAGTCAAGTAATAAGAATGTAAAGCACTAATCAGATGTAAGTTGTTAAAGATACAGTGTTTAGCTCAAATCCAACACAGACAACAAACATGGAGACCTGAGCTCAGAGAACAACTCGCACTCACCTGCTTTATCGTCAGGCCGAGCATGGTGACACTATTTTTGCTGTTACACCTCAAATTTAACAACAACCTTCGCTCAGCGTGCAGAAGCTGCCGCAGGAAGCCGCCATGTTTGTTTTGGAGGTCACCGTCCAACAGCGCTTGCTTTGATTGGACGCTGATGAGTAAGACGCGCTCTGATTGGCTGGAGGCGCTGAGCGGTGACCGACTCGCCGGTCGAGGAACAGGCATGTTACGGAAGAGGACGTTGTTTTCACAACGATCGTAGATATATCACTGCACCCAGGTGGCGGAATAACAACACATGCTTTTGCTAGAAGAAAATGTTTATAGTGAGAAGGCAGAAGTGGCGTATTGCTGATTTACTGTCGCACACATTTATTCGACAGTTCCCAGACTGTGTAAGAAGAGTGTAAATATGGCTTCTGTCGGTCACTTAGTGTGCAGGTGGTGGTTGTGTCGTCTCGGTAGATCCCCAGCAGTTTCCAGGCTCAGCAGATCGTTCACCACCTCCAGCACACGCAGGGATATCATGCCAGCCTGGGTCATTGACAAATATGGAGGCAATGATGTTTTACGGTTCACTAAAAACGCCAGTTTCCCCGTCATCAACTACCCCAATGAGGTCATCGTCAAAGTGTGTGCTGCAGGACTGAACCCACTGGACGTCAGCATGAGAGGTGAGTGACGTCAGAGCTGCAGCTGAGGTGATCAGTGACATCAGCAGATGATGTAATATCCACATATGACATGTGACTGTAAGTCAGGGCCGGGCCATATGACCAGCAATTCAATGAAGATATAGATCAGTGGAGTTATCATCATACAGTTATCATGACTCTGTGCTGGTGTGTTGGGGCAGCAGCATTTCAACTGCTGGCAGGAAGAGACTGGACAGACTGGTGGACAGACAGCTCGGCCCTGGGATGCCCCCTTGACCCAGAGGAGGTGGTGGGACAGATGATGGCAAAGCTGTTATCTCTGATTACACATCTTATCTTATATTATTACATCTCAACTCATTATCTTATCCTATCTTCAATTATGGGTAGAGAATCACAAAAAGCAAAACATTTTATTTTATCTGTTATATTATTTTGGCATTACATGGATATGTATATTGGACTTCTGTTATATTGCTGTTGATGAAAAGTATATTGAGATAATTATTGACAAATTATTCATCACCCAGCCTGATTGTATATCCAGGTTTAGAAATGAACATGCACCTTGATTAAAGTATCTCTTTCCTCTGACTCATACTCAGTCAGAGGCAGTTAGACTGGTGTTTTTGGTGGTTTGCACTTAATTGTAAATAGTTCAAAGGACCTTATCATCCTCTCCCACACAGCCAGGGTTTGTGACACCGCACCATGATCTTTGTGGAAATAGTGAAAGAGTGAAAGAGTGTGGGGGAGGACAGAGACAGCAAACAGCAGTGAAACGTTTGAGGTTGTTTCATGAAAATGCCAGTTTCACTTGTTGGGTTGCACTTTTACTGTAGCATATACTGAAAGTGTTATTTTCTCCCTAAACTCATTGCTTTTTTGGTGCCAACAATTAGTGACTGACATGACTACGAAAACTTCAAACTGATATGTTCACCCCCACCCACATCATAATTTTTGCATATTAGTAATTAGCAATTAATGAGATTTGAAATGAGCACAAAGAAACTTTCCACCCTCAGACAAAGAACATGTCAACAGCCTCATTGTTTTAAAATCATATGTCATGTCTAACTAAAGGTCCTAAACACCTTTATTCGTCTTTGATTCAGTGGGACCTGTCTTTATGTAATTTGTTAATGTAATAATAAGTGACTTTAATAGGAACCTTTTTTTTTATCAGTCAAATTACCAACAAAATTCTAATTTAGTGAATCTGAAACTATTGAGTCCCACTTGCCCACTTGGTAATCCAGCCTTGTGTTTACAGCTAATACTTAGAACAAGGTTACAATGTGAAATTAAAGGTACTTAGAAAAAAGAAAAAAAAGCTGTTGTCGAGGTTACAATGACAATAAATTGTTTATTTTCTGTTCTATTTGGGCCATTTTTGTTCAACTGAATGACCAAAGGCAGTTCGCGCAAATTTCACTTAAAGGTCCAGTGTGTAAGATTTTAGATGAAAGGGATCTATTGGCAGAAATTTAATGTATAATAATCCTCATGATGTTTTCACTAATTCATTTCATCTAAATTGTATGAATTGTAGTTTTCTTTACCCCAGAAAAGGACCTTAATATTCAAATACTTTATATTTACACCGAGGGGACCCTCTCTACGGAGGCCGCCATGTTTTTTACAGAGGTGTAAAAAAAGTCTGGACAAACTAAACACCTTATGAGTTTTTAACACAATTAAAAGCTCCCACAGGTTCTTTTTCATGTTTGGAAGGAGAGGGTGAGGTGAGGGGTGTTCAGCTGCAACATGTAACTTCAACACTAGATATCACAAAATTCTACACACTGTACCTTTAAAACATAGTCTTAACAACACTTGTTGTTTTAGCAAGTTTTTCACTATTATATAAAATTATGTAGATCAAACAATTAATCAATTATCTGAAAAAATAATTCACAGATTTAAAGAAAATATTATTCATAGATTTTGACACCACCAAAGAATATATACTCTTTAGTGAAGATGATAATAACAATGGTGTCGCCGCTCTTTCTTTCCTCCTCTGTTTGTTATCCTGTCAGCAGCACTCAGTGCAAACGTTTTTTTGTTTTTTTTTGCTACAGCAAATAATGTCCTATAACTATCTTCTCTTTTCTCATCTTTAACTGCAGTGTACAAGCTCTAATTACTTACCCTCTCCCTCTCAGGGGGCTATGGTGCCGCTACACTCTCTATGAAGAGGGACCCTCTGAATATCAAGCAGACGGGCAGCGAGTTCCCTCTCACCCTGGGGAGGGACGTGTCTGGGGTCATCATGGAGTGTGGCTTGGATGTGAAATACTTCAGAGAAAAGGACGAGGTACAGTGAAGCAAACCGGAGACAGGAAAGATGCATCCTCAGTAACCACTTACTGAGGGAAGATAACAAAGATAAAATTAGATGAGATTAGAATCATACATCACATGTTCACCTACAATATTTACACACAAAAAAGAAAACACACATTTCAGCCTTGGCGGTTTTAAGGGCATGGGAGATTATAGTTTGTGAAAAAATAGTCTGAAGATTTTTCACAGACTCCCATAAGTCCTGCACGTCATGTATGAATAAAGTGAGTGCAAAGTATGTAAACAGGTGTCATTAACAAAAAACATGTAGTTACAGTGACCATGCATAGAAACAGCTGTTGATAAGACACAGTAAACTAAATAGAAAGGAATCCTTAAGACACGTCAGTGATTGGTGAAAACACATCACTGGTGATAATGAATCTTGGTTCATGATGGTTAATGCTGATGCCAAAGTCAGCGTTTTCTTGGCTCACTTTAAAGATCATCATCATCATCACCACCACCACATCTCATGACCTGGTCCATCCATCTCTGGCCACAGTGTGTTTTGTGTCAGCTGGCTGAGAAACAGAAAACTGAGCTTGGATAATAACCGTGTATCAAATACTGAATATATTACTTTATCCCATCATCATTATATGTTTGGTTTACGAGTGCTGTGTTGTTGTGTGTCTCCTCCAGGTTTGGGCAGCGATCCCACCATGGAAACAGGGCAGCTTAGCTGAGTTTGTGGTGCTAAGTGCCAACGAGGTATTGTTCTTCTGATGGACTCATACTGGATGGATGGATGGATAGATGGATGACCTTTATTGTCATTGCACCGAGAAGGAGATCATTTTTGGCAATCCAGATAATGCATTCACACATAACCCAGCAAAGAAAAAAAGAGAATTCACTAAATGAAAAAAAAATAAATTCCTATAAATATATAAAAATTCCAACAAGAAAGGACAATAAATATTCCTAAAAAAAGACACAGACATCACATAGATACATTATTGCATCTAACAATGTTAGGTAGAAAGTACTGCACCGTTAAAAGCTGTTTGAGCTCATGTTGGTAATGTTCCTGTGAACTTTCCAGTGTCATAACTGTCATTGCTTGTTTTTAGTTTCCTTCTTGTTGATTGTGGCTTGCCTCAGTGACACACTTGTTTTTTCCTTTTAAAATTAAAAGACCTGACCTGCAACTTGCCCAACAACTTATTAAGTACTTCAAGATGAGCTATAGCTGACGCAGGTGTTATTTTGGAAAGGTGCTGATCTTCTCATAAATGCTGTTCTTATAAATGTTTGTTGTGCACAGGTGTCCCACAAACCAAAGTCACTGAGCCACCTAGAGGCAGCAGCCATTCCATATGTGGCAGCCACCGCCTGGTCAGCACTGGTCAACACTGGTGGGCTCAGTAAGGACAACTGTGCCAAGAAGCGGTGAGGGATAAACGCTGACACACTGCTACACACACAAACACACACACACACACAC